GGCTCCGCGGCTAAGACGAGCGGCAGGAGCAACGGACCCACGGGCGACTGGTGCAGCAGCATCACTGGGCTACCGGAAGCGCACCTCCGGACTACTGGCGCTGCTGACGACACGACGGCTACCTCCACCCAACCTCCCCCACTATCGCACCCCCTTGTCACACACCCCCTGCTGCACCCCTAGGTTCACTCACACTCCACCCCCTAGCACCACTCCGTCGACCCACACACACCCACCCCCCTCAGCGGTAGCTGCAGCAGTGGGAGACGGAGGAGGAGGAGAAGCAGGTGAGGCCGCACACCCGCCACCCCCTACTCGCCACGCCCAAACCCTAACACAGGGCAGGGCCACAGATGGCGGGTAGGGAGGGAAGGGGGGGGGGGGGGGGGGGGCAGGGCCGCGACATGGCCGGGGCAGGACAGGTGCAGGGCAGGGCCGCGACGCGCGGCCCCCTCGCGGCCCCCCCCCGGGTCGCCTCGACAGGCGACGGGAATTGGGGCCGCGCGGGCCCCCGTTGGCGCCGCGACGGGCGACGAGGGGGGGGGGGGGGGGGGCGCACGAGCCCCCCGGGCGACGAAACCGCCGTGCGCCCCGGGGCGCGCGACGGGCAGGGCACCGCCGCGCGCCACGGGGCGCACGACGGGCAGAGTAGGGCGTCGCACGGCCCCCAGGGCGGCGCGACGGTCAGAAAACCGCCGCGCGCCTCGAGCGCGCGGCGGGAAGAAAAATGGCCGCGCGCCATGGGCGCGCGGCAGGCAGAAAGACAGTGCGCGCCCGAGGCGCGCGATAGGCAGTATAGCAGCGGAAGACAATGGTGGGCCCATGCACAGGATCGACCCAGAAGGGTCGACCTGCTCTGATTCCATGTTGGAATAACAGTTGGAAGTTAGAAACGAGAAAGAGGGTTTGCACTAGCAGGCAGTTGAGTACATATAGGAAACCCTAGATTGGGCTGTACTCACTATTGAGTACCCCACTGCAGGCTAGACAAATATAACATTCTGACATAATAGCGGAAGCGTTTAATGAGAACTTTGTGAACCACCTTGCGCTAGTATGTGAGGGCAAAGTAGATTAATTAAAACAAAGGGATACACGTTTTTATAAGAATACAAGGAATACCGTATTCTCCCGGACAAAACACCACCCCGTAATTGTACACCCCCGGGTAGCTTGTGCGGGGTGGGTGTTATGATAGACCTCGTTTCTACTATACCCCCCTTTTTTGCTGATTTTCTATAACACCCCCCTTTTCTTACGAATTCGTTATAATAGTCGTTAACGAGTAGCTGCAATATTGAAGAATATCGCGAAAATTTCTCCCTATATGAAATTTCGCGGTACATTCCCTTACAATCTACCGAGATTTCCCCCCTCGCACTACTTCGCTGTGACCACGTGCAGGCGAATCTTCCGCTGCAAGTGGCAAGACAGGTGCCACATGGCATTTTCATGGGGGTGATGAAGCTTGTGGCCGAAACCCACATTCGCGCCTCAGACAGTGATGTTAAAATGAAAATCAAAACACCCACATTGTCTAATTAAATAAACACTAACACTAAAATATACCATATGTAAAGACCCGGGTATTATGTATTTTTTTCCTATGAGGAGACCCCCCCCCAGGGCTGACTTTATCAGACTAAATTAGTCTGATTGTCTGAAATCTCAGGGTATTTTCCTACGGATCCTGATTTTTCAGACTTGTAAGATTTTCAAACATGAGTGCCTCAGACTTACTTGGTTTTGGATCCTGAGATTTTCAGAGTACTGACTTAGCCGATAATGGGTCTTCATACTACAGGGAGTACGGATCCTGAAATGCGGATCTGTGATTTCTACGTACATTCCGCTACGTCATATGTTGCCAGTGTACGAACACACTTCATGGCGCTGTCACGCGCAGAATCTGTCCTTGACAACTTTTGCCACCCTTTTCCCTTAGAAATCTGCCAACTTGGCTCACTCTTCCACTCACGCGGGACCATCACTGCAGCTACGCGGTGTCAGCGAGGGAAACTGGTTAGCGTTGCGCCCCACGTGCTACATTTGTGGCAGTACTGTACTGCAGTGGTTGTAGTGTGTTCTGAGTACTTCAGACTTGTGTTTTTGCGGAACCTGAAAAATCAGAGTGGCCATTCTCTGGGAAATATGCCTCAGACTAAAAAATTTCAGAGCCCCCAGAACATCAGACTGGATTTTTTTGAATAGTCAGCCCTGCCCCCCCCATTTTTTCCCTGTATTTTTAGCTATACCCTAGGGTGCTATGTCCGGGAGAATACGGTACGAAGAGATACAGTTAATAACCGTTTTGCTGTTGCTGTTGCGGTTCGATACAGTGACGACTCGGCAACTGCTCAATAGCGAGTCAGTTGTTTGTCCTTGCTGTCGCGCTGTATTTGTCAGGTCAAAAGTCGCTGACCTTTGACTTTCGCATAACCTCCAGCAGTTGTTCAACCTCCGAGGGTTGACTCGCTAATGCTTCGATATGTTTTGCTTCGCTTCTGACTTTGTGTTTCGACACGACAGAAGCGCTTAAATCAATTGTTTCCAACAAGAACAAGATGAGTTGATTATAGTACAGAGATACCGTACAAGGTTTTATATGATTACAAGGAATTCGAAAGGTTTAACTGTAACTGCTGTTGCGGTTTGATACAGCGATGACTCGGGTAACTGCTCAATAGCGAGTCTGTTACGTGTCCTTGCTGTCGCGCTGCTTTTCGGCAAGTCAAAGGTCGCTGACCTTTGACCTTCGCTTAACCTCTTGCTATCGTCTTCTTGTCAATCGCTTTGGTTGACTCGCCATTACTTCGTTGTAGTTCGCTTCGCTTATGTTGTAGTGTTCGACATTTCAGAAGCGCAAACCAGATGTTTCCAACACAGCTGACATTTGGGTGTGGTTATATACACTCTCAGCAAGTATTTTCAAGAGAGAAACCACCATACTGATCTACGAAACCATCTATGTCTTCAGCACTAGCAACACTTTGCAAAGCACGAAGGAGTTGGCCGTTTGAAATGCTCATGGCATCAAGGTCGTAAGCTTGGAACCCTTCCTTGGCAACAGCATGCAATTCCCCACACTCCTGGTTTAGCATCACTCGCTCCCCTTCCTGCTCAAGCCTCTTCCCCCCTCCACCCTCTCCACCACCCATCCACCCTCCACAGTGAATCCCATACCCCTCCCACGTGCACGCCTCCCCTTGCTGCTCATCCCACTCCCCACCGTCACTCAACCTTGTCCTCTTTCCCCCATGACCCACCATGCCCTCTCCCTCCCATTCCGCATATCGCATTCCACCCAATTCTCCATCCACTCCGCCGTCCCCGCCTCCTCTCGCATCTGCCAGCAGCGTCATGCATCCAGGCGCAGCACCCCCCTGCCCGCCCACCATGAGTCCCACCTGCTCCAGAACCCACCTGTCCAGATCCGCCTGGGACAGCCTGTTCAACGGCCCCGCCCCCACACATGCGGCAGCAGCAGGAGCAGCAGCAGCAGAAGCAGGATGAAGGGCAGCAGGCGGAGCAACGTTGGTGCAGCGGAGTGCAGCAAGGGGCTGGGGGGCGTGCAGGTGAGCGGCCGGAGGGAGGAGCGGGCGAGGGAGAGGTTGGAGGAGAGGGAGGGCATGGTCGTTGGATGAGGACGCTGAGAGAGGGCTCGCAGGGTCAACGTGGGTTGAAGGAGGTAGTGAAGGCAGCAGGAGAGGGGAAGCCGCTGGATGCAGCGCAGCAAGAGGCGGGTGACTGGGAGCAGTGGTGATTGCAGCGGGGACAGGGCGCGGATGCACCTCGGCACAGCATGCTGATGGAGCAGCACAGGCGCTTGCCTTCACAGCCTGCTCCATGTACGCCCGCACTCCATCGGAGTAATTCTGTTGCTTCTGCTTCACTGCATCCGTGTGTCGCTGCAGCAGCACCACACTGCATTGCTCGCGTGCACTCTTGCCGCGCACCGACTCACTCACACCTCCGCACGCCATGGCTCCATCCCACCCACGTACGCCCATGAGCGCGCCTCCCAGCCCATGAGGGTGCATCACCCCTTCCCACCACGTGGCCCCTTCTGGGCTCCCCCAGTCTGCCTTGCTCCCAATCCACTCGCCCTCCCACCCGCCGTGCCGTGCCATCGACTGCTGCCTTGCCTGTGCCGCCTGCGGGTAGGCCTGTGCCGCAGTGGCAATCAGGTGCGGTGCGGTGCCAGCCGGTTGGAAGCAGCAGGGGAGGGCGGCGGGGTGAGCGTGATGCTGAGGGCAGGGCCAGGGGGAAATGTCGTGCTGCTGCAGCAGCTGCCCGTTGCACAGGTGCTGATGCTGCTGGGGCTGTTGGTAATGCTGGTAATGCTGCTGCTCCTGGTGCTGCTGGTGTAGCTGCGGCTGGTCGTCTAGTTGGAGGAATTTCCTGCGAGGCACACGCAGGGGAGAGACGAGAGCATGGACGGAGATGAGAGGGGAGCGGCGAGCGGGGGACACGGGGCCTATGGCCTCACGAGAAACTGCTACCTCACGGCCGAAATAGGCGCACTCAAGAGGGAAAAATCAAGTCTGGATGCCTTGTCAGCATCACCATCACCACACCTCTTGAGCATCGGGAAGCGGCTGTAGCATGCCATTCAAATAGCAGGAAGCGGCTGAGGCATACTTTTTAAGAAGAAGGAAGCGGTTGCAGCACGCCTTGTTGTCGCGCAGCGGCAGTCGGCCGCTCGCCCTGAGCTGCCCCCACTCCGCCGTGCCGTGCGCCATTACGTGCTCCAATAGCACCGCGTCCTCCTGCGCACGCCAAGGGGGAGGAGAAGGGAGGGTAGGGGGGAGAGATGGGAGAGAGGAGCGAAAGGAGAAGAATTGAGACACAGGGGATGGAAGAATCACGTGCTGCATCCTCCTAGCCGCGGGTGGGTTGGGAAAGGGGGAGAGAAAGAGAAGGCATTGGGAGGGGCGCGGAACGGAGGGGCGCGGAACGGAGGGGCGCGGAGGGGCGCGGAGAGACGGGGGAGAGCTCACCTCGGGGGTCCATCGCGCCAAGTATTGCCGCGAGCGGGCCGTATTCGCCGCTCTCCTGCCGGCGCCCAGTCGGGCGGGGCGTGACTCGGAGCCCGCCGATGATTCCGTGGGTGCCCGCTGGCGGAGCTGCGGCGCGCGCGCGCGGTGATCGACGTCCGCTGCAGCGGTAACGGGGCAGGGGCTTTCCGCGACTGCGTCCATTGCGGCTACACCACCAGCGTGCGCTGCCGGCATAATGTTGCGAACTTTCGACGCTCGCATCCTGAAGGGTGGTTTATTTTCGCGAACGAGATCCGCGGCACAGGGCTTCGCGCAGCAGCGAGACAACGAGCCGGGGCTGAGGGCGGCGCGCTAGGGGTGGAAGCGGGAGATTTGGCAGAACTACCGCAATGCTACTAAGGCTGAAAACAGGGAAAGCCAGGTCCGATTCGCACGAGCGTTGTTCTAGCGTGGGCCGTGGTTTTGCACAGAAGGGGAGGTTGCTATCACGAAGGAATCACTGTCTCTGGCGCTACTAGTACTAGTAGGCGAGCTGTGAGCTGAAAAGGTGCAACGAGCGAGCTGTGTCGTGAACACTGTGGAGTGTGAAGCCGTGGGCGCTCTATAACGACAGTTTCTCCTCCCGCTGCTCTGCGATGCGCTGCGTCCATCCCTTGGCTGTGACGACCAATGGCGAGTTTCAGGACTCGCCAAGGCTGAGCCGCATGCGGCGGGGGGTGAGACGACCGGCGCATTCGACAGCGCGCAGGATGGGACCCAGCGGCCGATGCGAGCGTCGCACGGCTGCCTGGTGGTCCCTCCCGCGCGACCGTCGTCCGCATGCTAGGCGGTATGGCAGGGGCGGTCCGTGCCGGAAGATGGCGGGTTGGGCGGGGTTGGGCCCTGCTGGCGTGGGTGGCAGTGGGCCACGGGCGATGTAACGACTTTGTCATTTTGCGCGGAGCCGACATGCGGGGGGATACGCACAAGTCGGCGCTATTCGCCCATCTTACTGTGCAATGCTGCCACTACTTACATCAGAAAAATGTGCAAAGAATTTCCGGCAGTATTTGGGCGAATCTGCAGGACTAGTCAGGTGAAATCGGCGGGTTTCCATGCGCCCCGTAATTGGAGTGGCATATTGCCCGAAACCGTCTGTTTCCGCGCAGGTTGCGATCTGCCGGTTACGGGCCTGCTTTGTGCTACAGTACCCTCTAACATAGGGATGTAAGCGGTCGAAGTTGGTGACTTGCGCCTGTTTGGGGCGGTTGAAAATCGAGCAGTTTACGGTGGCGCAGTTCTTGGCCATTTTGGTACCACCCAGGTTTAGGTGGGGAACGAGAGGAGCTGGGCGAGTTCGCCAGTTATTGGGGTGATGTCGCGTCGTTAGCGACTGCCTGCTTGTTGGCTCCAAGATTTTTGGACACACAGGGTTACTGTTACAGCTAAATACACTTCGTTACCACAATGTACACCTCAATTCACATTTGTCCGGGAAATTCCGCATATCGTAAACTAGTGAATCCAATTCGATTTCATTTTTATTTTCGATTTCTGTAATGATGTCAGTGAAATAGCAATTGCTTCTGAAATCTTTAGAATATATACAGCAAATCCTGACATTAAGCAAGAAACAAAAACCAGGGATCTTCATATCCTTGGTCTTTACACAATGAAAAGCACACGTTCCTGAAATACATTTCTTCCCAAATATGTAGCCAGTACACTGGAATACCCTGGAATGTTGAGCTGGAAATACTAGGCTGCAAAAATAACAATCCTTGCCGTTTCTCATCAGTACATTCAGCAACACGATTAAACCTGCATGTCAGGAAACAGAATGTTAGTTCAGGAAAAAAGAGTTAGTAAATGTAAACAAGTCTGCATTACGCGAATGTGCCCTGCTGTACGCGAGTGCACCCTGCAGTATGTTTGTACCCTGCAGAAGTGAGGACATTACAAACGGCACGAGGTTCATGTTAGCCTTGAATGGGGAGAAACACGGCGGGGCAATACCAGGTAGTTTTATGAAACAGACAATATAAGAAGATAGCCCAAGTCGTTCGACGAAAAGACGGACCAAAACGCGCTATACCTGCTCGTGAGAAGCTAGTTCGGGAAATTGTTTAAAGGAAATCAATTATTATGAAAATGGTCAACGGGGAATGAAGGAACTAAACTCTTACGAAGAAAACAGCTGGGAACAAGGATGTCGTTGGAACAGCTGTGAGAATAGAAACGAGAATGAATTGACTAAGGGAAAGTTGGGTACAAATGTAAACCCTAGAAAACTGTACCCCATATGTGCTACCCCACTATAACCTACAATAGCTATGTCATATAAATCTGACACACCCCCATAGGCAAAGTGGGGGAGAACAAGGGGTCACAAGACCAGTCAAGCAAAGCAAAGCAAGCTCAGGGTGGATCACAAAGTCACCACACATTCCGAGCACAAGTTCAAGGCCACAAGGCCAGTTGACATGCAGGATTACATATATATATAAGGCTAGACAAGAAAGAGCAGGTGTATATGTATATGCAACAGTACAAACAAGGTCAAGGGGTGAGCAAGTGAGTCAAGGTAGGCACAAGACCCAGCTGAGTACAGAAGCGCTGATGATCACAAGGCGCAAGTGCCTTGGTGAAGATATCAGCAGTGTTGGCCTGAGAGGCCACGTACGCAAGCCGCAGCTGACCACGCTGCTGTAGCTCACGAGCAAGGAAGTAGCGGAGAGCAATGTGCTTCGTTCTGTGCTCCAGTCTCTGCTCTCGACACAAGGCCAGCATGGCCTTGTTGTCTACGTACAGCACTGGAGGAGAACGAGGCGGCTCTCCGAGGTCAGTCAGCAGGTAGGTGAGCCAGCGAAGCTCCTGTGCAGCCATGGCCCCGGCGTAGATCTCAGCCTCACAACTGGAGCCGAGAACAGAAGACGAGCGGGTAGCCCGCCACGAAACAGAGCCGGAACCAAGGCTGAAGGTGTAACCCTGTGACGACCGCTGCGTAGCCTGGTCGTCAGCCCAAGAAGCGTCTGCGTGCCCAGTGAGGACCACTGGACTCTGCCCTCCAAGCACAAGCCCCATGCCCGACGTACTGCACAAGTAACGCAACACCCTCTTCGCTGCAGCCATGTGCTCCGGTCTGTGTCTCCCAGGAGCAACATAGCGTGCGAGAATGCTAAGAGGGTATGCGAGGTCAGGTCGTGTGCAGGTCATCAGGTACATGAGGCAGCCAACAAGCTCTGGGTACGGGCCACTCGACTCTACGGACTCATCCGAAGGCAGAGCTGAGAGCGAGTGGCGAGTAGGCAGAGGAGTGGCCTGAGGCGAGGAGTACGTGAAGCCAAAGCGCTGAAGGACCTGCTGCACCATGTGTGACTGAGTCAGGGTAATGGTGCGGCGTGCTCTGTCCCGGGTGATCTGCAAGCCAAGGTAGCTGCGCAGTTCACCCAGGTCTGTGCACGTGTGTCTCTTCTGCAGCTCGGACTTCACGTGGGCGAGTCCAGCAGTGTCAGCTGTGGCAAAGACCAAGTCGTCGACGTACACGAGGATGTAGAACGGCGGCAAAGAAGTGTCGGTGCGCAGAAATAGCGACGGGTCGGCAGTAGAGGGAGCAAACCCAAGAGCCGCAAGTGTAGTCCTCAGTGTGTCGTGCCACTCACGCGGTGCCTGGCGGAGACCGTAGACTGGCCGCCGGAGGCTCCACTGGGTGTCAGGAGGAAAAGACCCAGTGAAGCCAGGTGGGCGACGCAGCCAGATCTCCTCGTGCAGGCTGCCCTGCAAGAAAGCAGTGCTGAAGTCAAGAGAGTGCAGCTCGTAGTCGCGGTGAGCAGCTATGTGCAGCAGTACCCGAAGAGTGGTCATCTACGGGGTGGGAGAGAAGGTCTGAAAGTAGTCAACTCCCTGCCGCTGACTGAAGCCACGAGCCACGTAACGTGCCTTGAAGACAGGCGGAGAACCCGGCGGTCGCTTCACCCTGAAAATCCACATGCCACTGACGATGTTCGCCCCAGGCGGGAAATCCACATGCCACTGACAATGTTCGCCCCAGGCGGGGGAACCTCGTCAACGTAGGTGCCTGTGGACTTCCAGGAAGCCATCTCTGTGTCCATAGCTGCCTGCCACTGAGAGGAGTAGGGACCCTCTATCGCCTCCGCGTAAGAGCGCGGAGTCGGGATGTCAAGTGCATCCGGGTCTCCCTCAGGGGTAAGCAGTACGGACACGAGATGAGGTGAAGCAGCAGCCAAACACTGGAACTCCTCCTGCCTGTCCTCAAGGACGTCCGTGCCAAGGGCACACTCACCCCCGACGGACGGAGGACAGACAGACTCAGACGCAACGACAAGACTAGCAGCGTAGTCTAGACGACATCGAGCAGCAAAGTCGACGAGCTCAGCAACTAGGGCAGACGCAGCAGTGGACTCAAAGGAAGGGTCAGTGACGACAGTAGCAAGGAGACGCGTGACAGTAGGGCTGGCAGCACGAAGAGAGTCCGACTCCGGGTCGGGAAGAGCAGGAAGAGAGGACTCAGGAGGAGAAGGCAAAGGGGCACGCAGAGGAGCAGTGGACGGACGCAGAGACATCCGGTGGGTGCCAAGGACAGGAGGAGGACGCTGACGCGAACCACGGCCACTAGTGCGAGCAAGACGGACAGGCGACGCAGGGCGAGACGCAGGCTCACGACGCTCAGCCAGACCTCCAGTAGGACCAGTGTAGGGAGAAGGAGCGGGCAGTGTGAAGGCCGGCTGTAATTGTAACTGGGACGGGACAGGCTGTGGACACTCTAAGGGAGGAGGAGGACCAGTAGAAGGCGGGAGACCAAGAACCTGCTGAAGGAGCGGAACGAAGTACGGCCGAGGCCGCGCGGCGACTCCAGACACAGCAGGGACAGCACCAGTACCCCCAGCGGCAGCACCAGCGCCAGCAGCACCTCCAGCTCCAGTACCTCCAGCAGCACCATGAGCACCCCCAGCAGGACCGCCTCCAGGACCGACAGCAGTAGCCTCAGCGCCAACACCCTCAGCAGCTCCAGCTCCAGGCGTACCCGCAGGCCCAGCAGCTCCAGTACTCCTAGTACGAGCACCTCCGGGACCCGCGGCACCAGCACCCGCAGCAGTCGAAGAACCTCCAGCTCCAGCAGCACGCCTCCAGCGTCGGGCAAACCACTCTCGCAGCTCCTGTGGAGAGAGTGGCTCCCGCCGAGACGAAGCACCCGGAGAACC